GCAGTTGAATGCTTAAAAAATAAATAAAATCATTATTTAATCTACTTTTGATCATTGCTATGGTAAATTAATCTTAAAATGTAATTTTAAATTAAATTTAATCGAAATTCCTTTCAAATCAAGACTCATCGGTCCACAGTATTTTGTTAAAAAAATCGTATCGTCGTATTAGTTTAATCTTTTATTGCCATCAGTTGTACAGCTGAGAGCAACGACGCAATCAGAGCCAAATTTTGGTCAAGTTATCTCTTATCTATTAGACAAGTCCGTCCGTCTGTGGGGCTGTTTCAGCGGCCAAACCGTAAGAGATAGATAAAGAGAATATTTAAGTTAAAAGTTAAGAATAGTCTGATAAGACTACAAACCGGATTTGAGTAACGTAGCACTTCCGGTTTTCGAGAAATCACGTGATTTCTATATCTTGGAAACGATAAGAGATAGATAATACATACATTTTTTTTGACGTGACAACGTCTTAAATTAGGTTGCGGCTGGGAGTCACTTATGAAAAAGTGTAACGCTCGGTAACGTTACGATGAGTCTCTCGTGTTAAGTTTAAGTTTACATGTACAATGTTTTAGTAAACAAAATATATTTCTATAGTTAAAATTTGTGCAATTCTTATTTTCATTCAATTCCTTGTTCCTATTGTGCAATTTAATTATATTCATATCAATAAATATTCTACCGAGAAAAAGACGTTGTCACGTAAAATCTTCGCCCGTAAAACCGACTTTACAGGCAACCATTTTTTTTTTTAAATCAGGTTTTGGTGAACATTTGGTTCACTGGTTTGCTAGTAATAATAATAATTTATTTATTTCTCTCCAAAAACATCATCGGATCATAGTTAACATAGTTTATTAATAAACATACATTAACGTGTCTGTGGGAGACTGAAGTATAAACTAGGCACTAGTCTACCTGTATTTTAGAACACCAGGCCTCCTACCCTCGATATAATTTTAAAACACTCCAGTTATGAGCATTCGCTCATATATAACTGTGGCGCGCCTGTCCTTACAAGGCTTACAAGGCCATTCTAACCTCATTCTGTGTTTACACCGTAATATCACAATACAGAGAGATTAAAATCTCCGTCGAAAAAAAGGGAGTTAATCAGGGCAGTGGTAGCATAATGGTCAGTGCATTCGCCCGGATAGTGGAGGGTGCGGGTTCGAGTCCCGTCTGCTGCCTGGTCTGCGTAAATTTTTTCTAGTAATAGTTTCTTTAGTGTTGCCGCACACGGGCCACCGACCACAGCCACAAAACGCCGCCACCAGCATATTTCTTGTAGTTTTCATACATTTTATATGGACTCGCCACACACGGTACGCCGGTGGCCGCCACACGTTACAAATGGTCGTTGCTCGCTTCTTGTGGCCCGCACCGGCACGGTAATAATATCATACAGTATTCTATCTTCATACAAACGGTCGGAAAGCGAGTCATACCTACGCCACTCGAGTTCGATGGGCTCTCGGCGGGCACCCAGTCGCGAATGCGCCGCCGCGCCGCAACGACGACCGAACGGTCTGAATTGTTTTTTATGCAGTTAGCCGTGCTTAAACGTGCGTTTTGTATTGTAAATATTTGATTTAATTAAGTAGATACCTACATAATTTAGTATGGAAAAGAACAAACGACGATCAATATCGTACAACAGCACAATTGCTGTTTTTGGTTGCTTGAACTCTTCAATAACACACCCAGAGATATCATTTTTTAAATTACCTGAAATATTGGAAAGGTGTCTTACCTTTATAGAATATTTTTTACATACCTATCTACTAGTACGTTATTTGTTTCTAATATTTAGGTATTTCGGTTTTTCCATCGGGCAAAATATCTGGAATAATATATAAATAAGTGGTTAGGATGAAAAAAGAGACAAACGAGTAATCTACCTACACTCGCGTTAAAAACAAAACTACATAAAATACTGTAGGCTTGCGGCCCTACCGCGTGCCAACGCAGCGTTCGGTGTAGGCATTTATTTTCAAGGACAGGGCGGAGTCAGCATACTGTATAGATAATATTACCGTGGCACCGGCCACTTAATGCGCCGATACAAAACGCCGCCACACGTCACTCACGCGATTCCCCACCCCTCTCTCCCTTGCCTTAGTCAGCCGCTGTCGCGCGCTTCAGCCACTTTAGTAGCCGCTTCTAGCTTCTCGTGGCGGCGGTTGTGGCTGTGGCGTATGGCCCGTGTGCGGCGACACTTAGATGTATGTATTTACCCAAATTCAGGAATGGCAGTGGATAACCCAAATTTTGTTTTTTCCTCTCGGCTTAGCAATGTTTTAACAACATTATTTTTTCCTTATAGTCAGTTAGCCAACTCTTTAGGTAATACTTACAATAACACTACGTAGAAAATTTATCAATATGTCCTTGCGGTTATTTGAAATGTAAAAAAACTTTATTCATGATGACTTTTTAATTTAAACTCTCTTTTAAGTCTTTAATTTTTTTTTGAAGTGATAACTTCTTTAGCGGCGTTGTACACTTTTTTATGTATGGGAAAACAATGTTCAACTCGCGTCAGGTTAAACACGTGGGCTGATCGCATCATAAATGATACACAATAAAATTTGAAAGGTGATGACTTTCAATATATTATTTTATCATAATAACTAGCAAACCAGTGAACCAAATGTTCACCAAAACCTGATTTAAAAAAAAATGTATTTAATTAATTGAGAACTTCGGAGATTTTGTGTGGTTTCGTTTGAAATTCGTGATTTTTCGAAAACCGGAAGTGCTACGTTACTCAAATCCGGTTTGTATTCTTTACTTATAACTTAAATATTCTCTTTATCTATCTAGCACCACAGACAGACGGACGGACGGACGGACGGACTTGTCTAATAGATAAGAGATATTATTATAATAATAAGTCTCTATCTAGGACGTCCAGGTGGCAGCTTTATTGCGAAGAAAAAGCATTTTTTTTACAATAGATGTCGCTAGGTGCGCTTAAATGAGTAATTCTGAGAAATAAACTTTTTTTTTAATGTAATATAAATTGTCATATTTGTGTACGATAGCGCAATAAATAAATATTGTATTCTACTACATACATGATAGTACTTTAATACTAATAATTAAAGAAATTCGTGCAAAATTATTCCCTAACCATTCCAAAATATCAAAAATGCACAACGTTAATATTCAAGTTCTCACTTCTGCCGGCACTCCCGGAGTGCAACCCGTCGTTTTTTTTGCCTTTACACTGTTCAGGGCATTTTTAGTTGACACGAAGAACAGGGAAATGAAACTTCTCAGCTTTCCATGAAGAAACGACTTCTATGAAGTCTCCATTTCATCCATGGCGAATTCCTGAGTGCCCCAGCAGTGGGGACATCAATAGGCTGGTGGTGGTGTCTCACATCTAATTTATGACGATGTTTTTGGAGTTTACTCCTTAAGAATCGATTTGCATATATAAGGGGCCCGGTATGAGAAAAATGTGAGTAGACATGTGTAAGTAATGCGCGTGATATTACATTTATGATATTACGCGAAGTTGTAATGTCATATCACATATCACCCGACAGAATGAAACATTACACCATCACTTTAAAACATCACGCAGTACACTGAATAAAACAAATTACGACTTTATGTTCTTACAACTAAAGGTTTTTTTTAGTTTGTTCTATCGTAGTGTAATGTAAACATTACGCAGCGCTAGCGACGCACAGCGGCCTAGCCGGATAACTTTCAATATATTCGAATAATATAAATTACTTTTTTAAGAAACACTCCTCTTATTCGCCTGTATATTACAAAACTATTGTTTCAATTATTTTTTTTTTGTTAATATTGACGCATTAAATACCTACTAACGAAATAAATCTATGTTGAATACAGTATTTGATTAACCATCACTCGAAACATTACCCGTGATTTTTATTACTAAGTCACATATTAATAAAAATCACGGGTAATGTTTCGAGTGATAGTGATATTACAGAGTGATATTACTCAGCGAGTAATGTAATGTAATATTACATCACGCCATAGAGCACTGTTTTGCGCATGTCTAAATGTGAGGAGTGAAATCTATCGATGAATGACCTCGTTACGTTTTTGGTGCGCATCCTGTTCGAGCCAAAATGACTCTTAAATCCGAGAGCTTAGGTGCAAAAGAATTAAATTGAAACTACAGTGTATTTTTTTAGACCATAGATTTCTTTATTAGTTAGTTAGGTGACGTTTTGCCTATATGTAGCTCCAAACATATTTACAAGCGTGATGCAACGAACTACAGCGCCATCTATTTTGATACATATGAACTAAAATTTTAAATGCACAAATGGCGTATACATAATCGCCCTATATAGTTAATGTAAAATATTTCGTCGATTAATTATAATAAATAAATATATATATTTATATATGTATACTAGCTGACCCAGCGAACTTCGTACCGCCATAAAATAATTTAATTAAAAAAACATTGTCCAGCGGACAAAATTGTGAATCTAAACCATTCTCAGATCCCCTTGAACATACACAAAAAATTTCATCAAAATCGGTCCAGTCGTTTAAGAGAAGTTCAGGGACATACACACTCACAGAAGAATTATATATATAAAGATTATTTAATTTGTTAATTTACCCTTTCATACAGTATCAATCAAGGGCGGATCCAGGGGGGGGGGGCATGGGGGTCATGAGCCCCCCCCCCCCTGGGCTGGGTACAGATGGACCAAACCCAGGGGGATTTTATTTAAGTACTTTCAATATTTAATATACCACGACTATATGACCCCCCCCCTGGCGCCAAGCTGGCTATATGACCCCCCCTCCCCTGGCGCCAAAGCTGGCTATATGACCCCTCGCCTGGCGCCAAAGCTGGCTATATGACCCCCCCCCCCCCCCACCCCCCGGCGCCAAAGCTGGATCCGCCCTTGGTTAGACTATCGAACTTAAGGAGTAAACTCCAGTCGTGCGTCGGAGCTGACACACACAATTTTTTTTATTTGCAGGTGTGGCACAAGGGCTGCTTCAAATGTCAGGAGTGCGGCATGACACTGAACATGCGCACGTACAAGGGCTACGGAAAGCTGCCGTACTGCGAAGCGTGAGTAATTATGGTTACTATGGTAGACTTAGCAGCTCGATGGCGCAGGTGGTTAGCGCGTTCGGCTGCGATCGTTGAAGTTAAGCAACTTTCATAGTGGTCGGTCATAGGATGGGTGACCAAAAATTTTCTATCTCGAGATCCTCCGTGCTTCGGCAGGCACGTTAAGCCGTTGGTCCTAGCACCCGCCAATCCGCACTGGGCCCGCGTGGTGGGTCATGGCCCAATCTCACTATTCCACCCATAGGGAAGGCCTGTGCCCCAGCAGTGGGGGCATTATTAGGCTGATGATGATTATGATATTACATTCTTTCATTAGTATAATGATCAAATCTGTATCACAATGTACTATTTTTGAAGTTATACTTCTTTAGGCGCGTTATGAAAAAATGATGAGAGTGAAATTTTAAGATGCGCGCGCATCACTGTAACACAAAATTTTAACAGCAAGAACTTCATGCGTTACTTTTGTTTTTACCGCACATTAAGAAAATCTACCAACAAAATAGAAATAGAATCTCTATTTAGTAGGTGCTAACGACTGCATTGTGAAGGCATATCAAAAGTATTTATTAATCTGGAACAACGGAACCAAAGCGCGATTCAGGAGACTACAGCGCCATCTCTTGACCATTGGTGTAGTAGAACCAAAAACCACATCTTTATTTTTTGTAATAAAGTAACAGTTATAGGTATTCATATTTATAATATTTATCCACATGTTTCTAGTTTGTATATTCGGAATACGTGTTTGAGTTTCATACAAGTGCAAATCACATATGTTCTAATAAATTATATTCAGTAGCGATTTTAATTGAATATTTTGATAATTTATTTATTTTTTCAAATTAAAACTGAACTTTATTGACTTCGTCCTTTTCCAGATTTTTTATTAATTTATTGTAATTAATTATTTGCATGCAATTAAAAACTAATTTTAAACGATGCCAAAGAAGGATAACTTCTCACGCGCCTACATAAGTACACGCACCCATTTTTTTTAATTTGACGACCTAAGCGGCCGAGTGGTTTGTACGCCGGGTTTCATGGTGTCACCGACTCGAGAGGTCCCGGGTTCGAATCCCGGTGGGGGCAGATGTTTGTGTGATGAATACGAGCATTTGTACTCCAGTCATGGATGTTTAATATGCATTTCTATATAAATATACTTATATATGTACAGTATATGTATTCTATCCGTTACCCTAGTATCCCATAACACAACCCTTATAGTGCTTACTTTGGGGCTAGGCTAATTGGTGTGAGTGTTGGAAATATTTTTTTATTTACTATAGGCAAAGCATTGAAAATACTGCAACTTGGTTGTAATGTCATGTCCCAATCTCCATATTTGATACACAGGGAAGGCTTGTGCCCCAGTTAGTTTATTTTTGAGATTTGAGTTTTTATGTCAAATATTTTATTGAAATGGTGGCAATCGTACAGACCGTAACAGTTCAAGTCTACCAATCACCATCATCAGCCTAATAATGTCCCCACTGCTGTGGCACAGGCCTTGCCTATGGATGGAATAGGAAGATTGGGCCTTGACCCACCACGCGGGCCCAGTGCGGATTATCGAGTGCTAACGACTGCAGATGCAGCCGGGACGGACGGCTTAACGTGCCTTCCGAAGCACGGAGGAGCTCGAGATATTAAATTTTTGGTCACCCATCCAATGACCGACCACTACGGAAGTTGCTTAACTTCAACGATCGCAGCCGAACGCACTGACCACTTGCGCCATTGAGCTCCTCCAAATATATTAAAGACAAGACATAAAAATGAAAGTGACCTAACAACATAATCTTGCCATCAAACTATTACTGCGTGTGCTAACACTGATTGGTTACGCCGAATTGCACTCTATTACATAGTAGCTAAAGTCGAGAAGTGTCCGAATTCGATATGCCTCATAATGTAAGCCATTCAAAATGCATACTACAGCGACATTATGTCACTGTTACGTGCTACCATAGAACTAAAAGGGGGATACAAGAGTCGTGTGTTTTATTTAAAAAAAGATACAATAGGGTATTTTCCAAATTTTTTAAAACTGCTTATATTTAAAGATTGGGACAAACGACTTGACGACCTCCGTGACCGAGTGGTTTGTACGCCGGGATTCATGGTGTCGCCGACTCGAGAGGTCCCGGGTTCGAACCCCGGTAGGGGCAGATGTTTGTGTGATGAATACGAGCATTTGTACTCCAGTCATGGATGTTTAATATGTATTTATATATACATATATATGTACAGTATATGTATTCTATCCGTTACCCTAGCATCCCATTACACAAGCCTTACAGTGCTTACTTTGGGGCTAGGCTAATTGGTGTTAGTGTTGGAAATATTTATTATTATTATTTAACAGAAAAATAAAAATAGATAAATTAATTTCTTTTCTTTGTCATTAAACCAATTAAAGTTGAATTTAATTTTAATGGTGATGGTTTTGAATTTACCGCCAAAACGCTAGGTTCGATGACGTCTACTGTGTGACGTCATCTTTCATCCCAACCTTCAGATGATTACGTAACTCTATGTAATCATCTGAAGGTTAAATTATTAACTTTTTTTGCGTTTGGGATGAATTTATAGCATTAATACTTACACGCTAACTAATCGCGCCATCGAGCTCCTCAATACATATATTTACATAGAAATACATATTGATCATCTATGACTGGAGTACAGTCTCGTATACACCACACAAACATCTGCCTCCACCGAGATTCGAGCCCAGGACCTCTCGAGTAGGCGTCACCTTGAAAACCGTCTTACAAACCACTCGGCCACGGAGGTCGTCAAATAACTTTAATTTAATGCGTCAATTCTAATTGATTATTCGTTCTGCGGCGTCATGTCCCTGTTATGCAATATCCTTTTTATTTTTACGGGCAACTTTATTGTGCTACCAAATTGCAAATGATTGTTGATAGTTGATATTAAATACCCTAGGTACACCAAGACGAACAAAATCGTGCCCGAAACCTGTCCAAAAGGTACATTGAACGATCCACGCGGCTCTGTAAGATGATCGCGTAGTCAAAATCAATTTAAGGCATTATTTAAATATTGAAAGTAACCTTTAATACATACTGTATAAGGTCTCAAATAAAACGCATGCGCCAAGGACTTCCGACAGTTTGAAATCCAAGCTCGTAAAATTTTACGACTTATTGCTATTCGCTATGTGCGAAGTACATGGTGGGGGTATTGTGAAACGATCGCAGCGCTTATCGTGGCAGAAATACGCAACAATCCGGGAAAGTAAAGTCAATTTGCACGGAGTTCGTAATAAATAAATTTTTTAAAAAGCCTAATAATAGATGTTGTTGTGTTGTGAACTGCAAAAATAACGGCACAAATAGTCTGTGTTTATATTTCCTACATTGGACTGGAAATTAAATCAAAGAAATAAGTGGATAGATGCCATAAAAAGAAATAAGTAAGCGAAATAACCATAAATTATGATCAATTTTATTTGCGCTATATTTTATGTGATATTCATTATTTTCTTTATTATTTTAGTGTAGATGGGTCACCATGGTATCCCAAACCTGACGACACAATTTGTAGTGAACATTTTATGGGAAAAAAAATCAGACGAGGAAGAAAATCCGAGTTATGCTCCTTCGAATATTCCCTGAAATATATCGAAAGAGGAAGGTTAATGATTCACAGGTCCTAGCTAGATATACACACTTGACAAAACGATGAACCACAAAGTCTCAGATACCACATCAAGTCAAATAATAATTAAATCAAACTCAACCTTTTATGGTCGATCAAGTATGTCAAGTCAATATGTTTTCTGAATCGAAATTAAGAGATACAATTTTTATTTGTATTAGATTAATTTACAACGATCACTGTGATGCTGAAATCCAAGCAGATATAGCAACATCAAGAATTTTAATGACAAATAATTTAAGAAATAAAGATAAAAGCTGTGGCACTGACAAAAAATCGTATGAGGATCAATCTACCGAAACAAAAAGTCAAGAATTTGTTGGTATTTCATCAATAAAAAATGATCAAGAACTCCTAGATCTTGCTGGTGTGTCATTTAGCAATTTTGAGTTTTTATTAACTATAAAAAAACTGTACAGTTTCCACTAAAGACCGACTTCTGATTTTTTTGATAACAATGAAAACTGGCTTGACATTTTCAGCATTGAGTGTGTTATTTGGTGTACACAAAACCACAATCTCACGTATATTTCATTCGATCTTACAAAATGTAGCTTGTTCAACTGCTAATTTAATCTTTTGGCGGAATAGAGCCACCGTACAAGCAACAATGCCCAAGTGTTTCAGTCCAGATTACATCAATACAAGAGTTATTATTGACTGTACTGAATTCCGAATTGAAATCCGACAGTATTTAAATTATTATACAATATATAATATTTTTTATTTATCTTTAATTTACTATAGTTACTAGAAATCAATAAAATACAAACTGATGTCATTATTTGGCATAATCCCGGAAAGTTGCGCATTGTAGGTGGCGCTACTGTCGTGCACATAGCGAATATGCGGAAGAATTTAGACCTTAGTTCTTTGATTCTACGCGAAATTCTGAACGCGATGTTAGCAATATAGCAGGCACGGACCGCGAGGAAAAGAGACAGTTATATGGCGACATATAACCGACCATGCATTTGAATATCACAAATATTTTATATTAAATCAGTTTATAGTAAGTATTAGATGAAACTTTACTTCAAATGCGTTAAATTAACAAACATTGACTAGATAGCGATCGAAAAAACGACACTTTTCGTACTCTAAGTATTATTTTCGCATTTTTTCGCGGAGCTCTGTGGCTTCTTGACTTTGTAACGGTCCGCGCGTGACTGTGAACCAAGAAGTGCTCGAGTGGAGTTCAAGCACTTCTTGATTGGGACACATTTTGAGCGCTCGTGGTGTATCTAGTAACGTCAATAAATAAATAAAGTTCGTGCATGTAACCCGTTAAAACTAGTTTTATTTAATGAGTGATGTGCGTGAAAACCTCATCGTCCTATCCTAGTCATCTGCTGGACATAGGCCTCTCCAATTGCACGCCACTCAGATCGATCTTGGGCTACTCGCATCCAGCACCTGCCAGCCACCTTGCGCAAATCGTCACTCCATCGTGCCTGAGGACGTCCTACACTACGTTTGCCTAGACGCGGTCTCCATTCCAGAACTCGTCTACCCCAACGGTTATCGATTCTTCGGCAAATATGGCCAGCTATGTCGATAACTGTGGTTCTCTGTCGGATTACCTCATTTCTGATGCGATCCTTCAGAGAAACGCCGAGCATAGCCCTTTCCATAGCACGCTGAGCGACTTTGAACTTGTGGACCAGCCGTACCGTCATTGTCCACGTCTCGGCTCCATATGTCATCACAGATAGGACGCACTGAGTGATGTGCGTGAAAACCTAAGAAACAAATATCAGTGTTATTTTTTAAGTACTGCAACCACGTAAGCCAGTCCTGTGTTTCTAAAATTTACAAGCGCTTTCGGGAGACTGGTGACTTTATCCCGACACCAAGATCTGGACGGCGCCGGTGCACATCGGAGAGGGGTGACCGTTTTATCATGTCAACCTCTCTCCGAAATCGGCATTTAAGGGCCCCATATACGGAACGATTCGTCGTTGCGATCGATCTGAAGGAAATCGTCAACGATTGATCGTTCAGAAATACCACTACATACACGAAACGATTGCTCGTAACGATCTATCATTTACTTGTTTCAAACGGTAGGATAAAGACGTACTCAAATAATTCTAATTCTAAACTGGAAACTCTAAAATGGAAAACGAACTCATGATTGCATGAACGATATTTATGATTGCATGGGATTTGGTTGCGATCTCCGATATCGTCTGCGATTAAGTAAATCGTTAACGATCTTGACATACACTGTCGATCCATCGTTTCGATCGGTCTGAAACGACGGATCGTACAGATCAATCGTTCCGTATATGGGCCCCTTTAACTGGTGTTGACGTCCAACAGGAGCTCAGAGATGTCATTATTAAGAATTTTATGTCGAAACAGTAAATCCGCTATCGTACGTCGATTTTTTTAAGGAAGTAACTTGGAAACTACGCACAAGGGTATTAAAGAGTATTATCTTAGTTTTTACATTGCGTAATTCTTTTGCATTTCTTTTTAGAAAACCCAACATACGAGCTGCTTTATTCACTAGATTATCTATATTATGTGCCGCAAAATTCAATTTATTGTCCAGCTTAACACCTAAGTCTCTGACCTCCGTGACCCTTGCCAAAGTTACGCCGGACAATGTGTATTTGGTATCAATAGGAAATCTCTTTCTAGTGAATCTGATGGAGCAGCATTTTGAGGGGTTTAGTAGCATTCCGTTTTTATGGCACCAGACAGATATATTGTACAAATCTGATTGTAGGAGACAAGCATCTTCCGTGGATTCAATACATCTAATATATAAAATTCTCGTGTCGCGGTGTTTGTGGTTAATCTCCTCCGAAACGGCTTTCCCGATTCTCATGAAATTTTGTGTGCATATTGGGTAGGACTGAGAAATCTGATCCACCCCTAAATTTTTTTTTTCAATTATAGTTTTTTTTTTTAATTTTTTTATGATACAGCATTAGTAATTACATATAACCCTGAATTTTCACCCTTCTACCACCAACCCCTATTTTTTATGGCGGTACGAAGTTCGCTGGGTCAGCTAGTATTATTATATTATAGTCAGACTAGCAAACCAGTGAACCAAATGTTCACCATAACAAGTGCTACGTTACTCAAATCCGGTTTGTAGTCTTATCAGACTATTCTTAACTTATAACTTAAACATTCTCTTTATCTATCTCTTACGGTTTGGCCGCTGAAACAGCACCACAGACGGACGGACGGACGGACGGACTTGTCTAATAGATAAGAGATAGTCAGATATTTTTTTACTGTGATCACGTTACATCGGTTCGCGTGCCGTATTCACTGCGTTCGGATTGCTGACAAACGAAAGCACATCGCCATCGGCGTCGACGCACTTGAATTGCTGATTATCCACACTTTTACTGAAAGGGAAATTGTTACTGCTGTTAGAGAAAAAATATGCCGAGTACTTTACCGCGCTTGTAAATGTATCTGGTAGTTTGATAAATGGTTAATAAAAAATAAAAAAAAAGTCACATGTTTAGGGGGGGAGAGGGGGTCGACGAAGTGTGACAAGGAATTTAATTTAATTTGTATATTATCATCAGCCTATTAATGTCCCCACTGCTGGGGCACAGGCCTTCCCTATGGATGGAATAGGGAGATTGGGCCATGACCCACCACGCGGGCCCAGTGCGGATTGGCGGGTGCTAACGACTGCAGATGCAGCCGGGACCAACGGCTTAAGGTGCCTTCCGAAGCACAGAGGAACTCGAGATAGATGTTTTTGGTCACCCATCCAATGACCGACCACTGCGGAAGTTGCTTAACTTCAACGACCGCAGCCGAACGCGCTAACCACTTGCGCCATCGAGCTCCTCCTCCTTTGTATATAATAAAATTTAATATAATATAACATGATATGCTATAGAATATGACATAGATAATAAATCAAATAATATAATATTGAGCTAAAATTATTGGATAATGTTGATATTAATATATTTTTATTTGTTGGGTAAAAAATTATCGTATTTGGTTGGTAAATTGTATACGTACTAACTAGTGATGTAACGAATGTCATTTTTTGAACATTCGCGAACGCGAATGCGGATGCGAATGTCTGGTACCGACATTTGCGAATGCGAATATTGAGTTTTTTTTTAATTGGCGCCAATTGTCTATGGTATGGTAGCAGTCTCGTTCGAATTGCCGAGTCGATATGAACTTATCCGACTGAAGTGTCATTCCGCTCGGACCGGTCTTTCCGTAAACAAAACAAATGAATTTTGAGGTTAGTGATTGTGAGTGATAATAGCAATTTATTACCATGAGTAAATCGAATTCTAGTGAAACATGGACTTATTTCACACTTTGCGATGCTGAACGAGCTAAATGCAAACTGTGTAACAATGAATATTCAAGGAAAGGCAGAACTACAACTTCTTCAAATTGTTTTTTCTAATATTCATATTCGCAAAACATTCGCAGAGATTTTGCGAATGCGAAAATTCGTTACATCACTAGTACTGACTAAATTACAATTAGTGAATGCGTCCTCTTCTCTATTTGCTGCCCTGTTCAGGGTCTGCAATGATCAAAGCAATGTACCTACTAAGATCTAAGAAAACATTGTAGAACGCAATAAAGTATTGATTGATTGAAGGGGCGGGAGGGGTCCTAAGTTTCGTGACGTCACATTTCAAAAACCAAAAACCTTTGAAATATATAGATCACTGTCTGTATGGGGGTTCATTTGTATTTCTTGCCTAATTTTCGGAACTGGTGTGTTAGTAATAATTTCTAAATTTAAAATAGCAAAATATATGACGTCATACTAGTGAGGGGGACTCAAGAATGTGACCAACTGTGACAAGGACATGGGAGGGGTAAAAAAACGACGGGTTGCACTCCGGGAGTGCCGGTAGAAGTGAAAACTTGAATATTAACGTTGTGCATTTTTGATATTTTGGTATGATTAGGGAGTAATTTTGCACGAATTGCTTTAATTATCAGTGTAAAAGTACTATCATGTATGTGGTAGAATACAATATTAATTTATTGCGCTATCGTACACAAACATGAAAATTTATATTACATTAAAACGATAGGGCGGATGCAAGTTTTGTAAATTGTCAACTTATGCCTAAGTGACATCTTACTACGCATTCCCTATGAGGTGGAATAGCCTGCCGCAAATGAATGCTACGCGATCGCGAACTATCTTGAGATGATTTCCTAGGTTTTTTTTGAGTATGCTGTTGGTCGCAGATGACCTTTACAGCGTCACCTGGTTTGGGGACGGCGAGATCCTAAGGGGACCTCAAGCCGAGAATTGGCGAGTGCCTCTAGAGGTATTCCAGGCGGATGGCGTCTCCCCACGGGGGGAGTCTCCTCTCCGTCTGGAGCCTCCAGACCACGAGCACCTGAGGGGGTCGGCTCAACTATAGGCCGTCTCTGAGACTCGGACCTCGGCTCTAGTTAGCCGTTGTCGTGGGGGGCGTGAAAAACGCCCAGGTACGTACCTGTACCTGGTATAGCGTGTCGTGTGTAGACCGGGTCTTCGCACTCTTATCCTACGGGTGCGGTGTCTGCCTAATGCTAAGCTAGTGTGCACGTTTGCTAGCTGTGTAGTGTTGGTGTTTGTGGCCTGTGTGGGAGGAATCGGAGGCGCGTTGGCGCGGATGATTTCGTCGTCGAGGTAGTCTAAGACGTGCCTAGGCCGACGGAATTGGAGGGCATTTCCTAGGTGTTGCTCGGGCTCAGTATATGTTATGTTGATTCCGAATTTCGTTAGCGCGATGTAGGCTTTCCGTACTCTTAACTGTTCTCCACGATTCATGGCCTCTTTCTTGACACATTCCAGACACGTGCCAAAAGCGAAGCACACCACCATGGCGGAGACGCCGGAGCTGAAGCGCATCGCGGAAAACACCAAGTTACAGAGCAACGTCAAGTACCACGCAGACTTCGAGAAGAGCAAGGGCAAATTCACACAGGTAATGCGCTGTTTTTGGAGTTTACTCCTTAGAATCGATTTGCAATTTATAAGGGGCCCGGTATGAGAAAAATGTGAGGAGTGAAATCTTTCGATGAATGACCTCGTTACGTTTTTGGTGCGCATCCTGTTCGAGCCAAAATGACTCTTAAATCCGAGAGCTTAGGTGCAAAAGAATTAAATTGAAACTACAGTGTATTTTGTTAGACCATAGATTTCTTTATTAGTTAGGTGACGTTTTGCCTATATGTAGCTCCAAACATATTTACAAGCGTGATGCAACGAACTACAGCGCCATCTATTTTGATACATATGAACTAAAATTTTAAATGCACAAATGGCGTATACATAATCGCCCACCAAGGACAAACTGATTTAATTAATATTTAAAAAAATGGTAATAGTCTGATACACATCTGAAATTGACTATTGTAAAAAGTTTAATGTAAAATATTTCGTCGATTAGTTATAATAAATGTATATGAAATGAATAAATATATATTTATATATGTATATTATTTTCATTAATTTGTTAATTTACAATTTAATACAGTATCAATCCTTTTTAAGTTAAATAAACTCTTTTTGCGTCTGGTTAGACTATCGAACTTAGGAGTAAACTCCAGTCGTGCGTCGGAGCTGACACACACAATTTTTTTCATTTATTGGGAATAGTTGACAACTACACATTAACAATATGTAAAATAGTAGTACTGTTAATTTTAATAACAAACATGCAGTCAAATACACTGTCCACGAGGAGCTCGATGGCGCAACTGGTTAGCGCGTTCGGCTGCGATCGTTGAAATTAAGCAACTTTCACAGCGGTCGGTCATTGGATGGGTGACCAAAAAATTTACTATCTCGAGCTCCTCCGTGCTTCGGAAGGCACGTTAAGCCGTTGGTCCCGGTTGCATCTGCAGTCGTTAGCACCCACCAATCCGCACTGGGCCCGCGTGGTGGGTCATGGCCCAATCTCCCTGTTCCATCCATAGGGAAGGCCTGTGCCCCAGCAGTGGAGACATTAATAGGCTGATGATGATGATGATATAGTAGGGGAGTCCAAGCGGGGATTTTTGGATTTACTCGAGCGCGGCAGAATAACATATGGGGAGCAACCTTGCACGTAGTTAAGTACTCCCACTATACCTGAGCCATCTATGTAGGGCCGAACGTCTAGGGCAGCAAAAAGAAAATTTCAACAAACTGCCATGACTTTTGTTCGGGTCCAAATCGTCAGTCAGTCTTTTGAATAGGAGCTATTGGAGGGTTAGCTAGTTATTGCGTAAAATTGTTTTCGGCTAAAATGTTCTCTCCTTTCCACTGCTCGTCCGCAGGTGGCCGATGACCCGGAGACGCTGCGCATCAAGGCCAACACCAAGATCATCAGCAACGTGGCCTACCACGGAGACCTCGAGAAGAAAGCGCAGATGGAGAAGCAGAGACAGATCAACGAGAACGGCGAGATTGTGGGTAAGTTATAATGACAAACACAACACATACACATGAGAGATAATTTGTGAGATGACACACGTATACACACACACACACACACACACGGCGACCTCAGGAATAAGGCGCCGATTGAGAAATAGCGCCAGGTCAACTAGAACCGCGAGATTGTGGGTAAGTGAGTGTCGCCGCCTACGGGTCACCGACCACAACCACAAAACGCCTCCACCGGCATATTTCTTGTAGTTGTCATACATTTTACATGGACTCGCCACACACGGTACGCCCCGGTGGCCGCCACACGCTACAAATCGTCGTTGCTCGCTTGTTGTAACTTTTATACCCCAACACCTTAAACTAGGGAAGTTTGTATGAAACTTTATACCCCAACACCTTAAACTACGGAAGTTTGTATGAAACTTTATAACCCAACACCTAAACTACGGAAGTTTGTATGAAACTTTATACCCCAACACCTAAACTACGGAAGTTTGTATGAAACTTTATACCCCAACACCTTAAACTAGGGAAGTTTATGAAACTTTATACCCCAACTACCTTAAACTAGGGAAGTTTGTATGAAACTTTATAACCCAACACCTAAACTACGGAAGTTTGTATGAAACTTTATACCCCAACACCTTAAACTAGGGAAGTTAATTCGCAATAATATAGGGGTCTCTAAATGTGGTGATTTTAAATGCATTTCCTCACACACCGCCAATCATGTTACACAAAATCGTGTGTGTTAAACTACCGTCACTACACTACATACAGCACTGTCATTCAACTCGTTCTGATCCGTAAAGTTCTACCGTTTTGTACTATTGGCAAGCAAGAACCAATATCGAATTCAAATATTTGGTCTCAATTTATAATTGTCAAATGTCAAGAAAATTTGTATGGAAATTTGAGCAGCGCCACCACAGAATTGACGAGAATATAAAAATCTTTCATACAAAACTTTAACTGTACTGTAAGGGTACTGTATATATATACCCTTACCACGAACCAATATCGAATTCGAATAGTTTGCGAGTGCGAAACGTCATTGTCAAATTTTGCATGGTAACTTAAACAGCAACGCCACAACGGAAGTAACAAGAACTAAAACTCAGTACACGTTTGACGTATAAAATAGATCAAATTCTACTATTAAAATGAAATGAAACCTATTGGAATTCGATAATGGTTTTTTCTAAAGTTACAGTTCTACAATACGTACGTACGTAATAGTATAATTAAACGGCAGCACTATACGGACAGAATGTTAAACTCGAGGTTTATGGATTCGTTGTGTGTCTCGCTCTTTCATTGTCACGTGGATTTTAGCCATAATGTGTTGTTAACGTAGACATTACGGACGGTACATAGACGGTAAAGAAAAACTGAATGTTAGAAAGATGCTTTTCTCTCTCGCTCTCTCTTAAAAGATGTCACTTTTATGAGAGTGTTAAACAGTCCATTCATTATGTCTATAACTTGGCCAGATAATATATGGAGTGAAATTAAATTAGTCTTCAAAATTATATTCCTCGATTCTTATCAGATACTACATGATGTTCAAAACAATAGTACAGCTGGTGAAATGACATTAATAAATTATAATAAAAAATAAAACTAGTTTTTACGGGTTAATGCACGAAACATTATTTATTTATTGACGTTTCGTAGCCTTTACAGGCTACGTCGTCAGAATCAAACTTTTATTTAATTTGTCGAGCTACCTTCGAAAGAACTAGCTACCTTATTGAGCGTTCAGTTTTTTTTGAAGGTAGCTCGACAAATTAAATAAAAGTTTGATTCTGACGACGTAGCCTGTAAAGGCTACGAAACGTCAATAAATAAATAAAGTTTCGTGCATTAACCCGTAAAAACTAGTTTTATTTAATGAGTGACGTGCGTAAAAACCTAAGAAACAAATATAATAATTAAAACAATTTCGAATATATTTTTTCACCTTATATATCACCTGGTCAGCATTCATCTACCATTTTTTTGTTCGTAATTATATATGTCTCCGCTTTGTGTGTGCCCCTAAAGAGTTGCCAAGCGACAACTATCATCAACAAATCGAGAGTTACGCTACGGAAATGTTGCCGCCCGCAGTACCCCCGCCCCATCTACCGCCCAAAAACCACTATCAGACCCCCAACACTCAATACCAACCGCAAAACACTCAACACCATCAACAAAACACTCAATACCAACCGCAAAACACTCAACAACATCAACAAAACACTCATCCTCAACCGCAACACACTCAACAGCAACAAAACACTCAGTATCACCAACAGAACACTCAACACCAACCGCAGAACACTCAGCACTATCAACAAAACACTCAGTACACCCCGCAAAACGCGCAATACCAAAACTCTCATCACCCCCAGAACTCGCAGTATCATCATCACAACCAAAACACTCTAGAGAACACTCAACATCGCCCCCAAAACACTCAGTACCAACAACAGTACGGGCAGAATTACCAGCAGGAGAGGTATCCTACCGATCAGTACAAAAAGTACGAGGATTATCAGTACCAAGGACAGTATTACGGGGCGGGGTCCCAAGCTAGGATCGGAAGGATTCAAGATTATGATCCGTTGAGCGATGGCCCGAGAGCTGTGCCCAATACTCAGCGCGCGTCAGCTACGCTGATCTACAACAGCACCAACGATGGCAGCAGAGGTTTGTGTGTCTTTCAGAATTTGTATCGCGTAATTATGTGTTGACATGAACATGAATTTTAGACATTTAGAAGAAGGGCCGCGCGACGGCGCCGCTCGAAGGCGCGACCGCGCCGCTATTTAAATGAATCGTTACACACAATGAGGGCTATCGCGTATGAATCCGCCGCTAGAGGCGCTAGTGTAGCGTGAGGTCTCCGAAATGTTAAATGTTATTGCTTGTTGGTTGACTACGCGGGTTTATTTCTAATTAAAATAATGTTGTGAATAATTGGTAACGATTCGGCTTAATTATGGCAAATATGAGTTATGTGGCAATGAATCTCAGTTATTAAAAATTTGAGTGCGTATTAATAAACTTTAAAAGTTACAATTTAGGACCTCACTCAACAGTGTCGCCATCTGGTGAGGCAGAAAACGGTAGCCCTCATTGCTTGTGATGTCGCGGTGTAGCGGTCGCGCGGACGCATATAATTCGAGCCTTATTCCAAAAATTCCGGATTATAGAGGCTGGTTTTAGACAGTACTCTGTAATTTGGTAAATTCGACCTCTAAAGTCATAACATCTTACTTACACATAATAATAATAAATCGTTTATTTCTCGTCACAACATTTTGGCATCGACAACATTTTTTTTTAAATACCTAATTACATTTTTATAGCCTTACTAGAGGTCGCCCGCGACTTCGTCTGCGTTAACTAAGTTTCTTGGAAATCCCTCTGGAACCTAACATTTTTTTCGGGATAAAAGTAGCCTATGTGTTATTCTGATCTATAAGCTACATTACTGTAAAGTTTCATTAAAATCCGTTTAGTAGTTTTTGCGTGAAAGAGGAACAAACATCCATCCATACATCCATCCAAACAAACTTTCGCCTTTATAATATTAGTAAGGAAAGGATATATGGATAGATAATGATACGATTAAACAATCGTAGTATGAGTACCATTGATGTCGTGAGAGGTCGGTGTCTGAACTAAGCCGAGCTTGTATTTCAGAGCACCGGTCCTCCCTTCTTGTGATGGGTTAGGTTACAGCAATCTATCACAAATATGTCTATACAGCTTAGGAGTTGTTCAAATAAATATTTTGTTTCTTTGTTTCTTCGATAATCCGACATCACCCTGCAAAACTATTATCGTATTACCGTGGGTCTACTGTATAGTATATCTGTTACCGTATTGGTGTGGCAGGGTCCCAACAATCACAAGCCGCGGCACGCCCCATCGGCCGCGTCACCGACCTCGACCCGCTCGCCAACGCCAACACCAACACCAACGCCAACACCAACACACACGCCAACACCAACGCCAATACCACCGCCAATATCAACCTTAACGCGCAAGTGAGTATACCCACGTTTTTTTTTGACGTGACAACGTCTTAAATTAGGTTGCGGCTGGGAGTCACTTATGAAAAAGTGTAACGCTCGGTAACGTTACGATGAGTCTCTCGTGTTAAGTTTAAGTTTATATGTACAATGTTTCAGTAAACAAAATATATTTCTATAGTTAAAATTTGTGCAATTCTTATTTTCATTCAATTCCTTGTTCCTATTGTGCAATTTAATTATATTCATATCAATAAATATTCTACCGAGAAAAAGACGTTGTCACGTAAAATCTTCGCCCGTAAAACCGACTTTACAGGCAACCATTTTTTTTTTTTTTTTTCTTTATTTGGGAAACAAACAGTGAATTAATACTTATACCTATTTAGAGTCTAATGTGGATGTAAATAAAAGCTGTTATAGTTAATCACTGACCGTTTATTCACTTCACCAATGTTCATCTAAATTACTATGACTCCAAAGTATACTGTCTATTTCCTAACTGTTATGCGTACTATTACAATGACTTAAGAATGAACCTGACGGGATCGGTGGTTATGTGCGACTGGGTCGCGTCACCGCGGACCGCGCGTCGACGCTTATATCAAGTCAGCATTCTTGGAATACAGTCGCCACACCTAGATCTAGGGATGTCGAAAGTTGAAAAAAATATCGATATATCGATACATCGATCTTTTAAAAAATATCAATATCGGCTTCGATATATCGCGAAAAAAACATCGATATATCGGACCAATTTTCCCAAAAATATCGTACAGTAGCTCACGAAATATGACACGCGGAATAATAATGGAACGAAAATTATCTCCCTAAAAATAGACCCTATAGACAATACTAAATACAGCACAGATCACAGATATGTTGTATATCATTAATCTGAGATCCAGTTACGATTTTTCTAGATACGAATTTAGTTAGATCGTGATATGCCGCTAATAATTAAAAAAATATCGTTTTTGATACGAATTTCGATATTGGTTATTTTGTATCGATGTATCGAATCAAAATATATCGTCAAAAGATATCGATATATCGATACATCGATATATTTTCAACAAGCCTACCTAGATCTAATTAACAAACATACATCAATAAAGTTTCCACTATAATATAAAACATATAAAGGAGTTCAGGTAATTGAAATTGAGAAGGAAAAAAGACGTTAATATTTTTACCAATAAAAATAAATAACAAGTTTTGTTGATTACAATTAATAATTAAGAACTATCTACCATATCGTGGATATAGATTTATCTGATTGTTTGGTAGAGGATTTTCTAAACTATTATGCTATAACTAGAAAAATGAAAATCCGTAATTGGCATTAAGATAAACTATATTGTGAAACCTGTATTATATTAAGAACATATTGTGGATTTTGGTCTATAATTAAATAAATAAATAATTAGCCTGTGTTAACTTGAAATGTGGAAAAGTTAATGTCATTCTTTATGAATAGAGATCTGAAAATATGAGAATTATTACCATTTCTTTTGTTGAGTGGTATGTACGTCGCGTTTCAAGGTGTCGCCTACTCGAAAGGTCCCGGGTTCGAATCCCGGTGGGGGCAGATGTTTGTGTGATGAATACGAGCATTTGTTCTCCAGCCATGGATGTTTAATATGTATTTCTATGTAAATATATGTACAGTATATGTATTCTATCCGTTACCCTAGTATCCCATAACACTAGTGCTTACTTTGGGGATAGGCTAATTGGTGTATGTGTTAGATTTTTTTATTTTATGTTCATTTTATGTTTTGTGTTTTTAACTACCAGTTTTGTTTCAGAACGTTTATATTGCGATGTACGATTACGAAGCTACGGACAGCGATGAGGTGAGTTCGAATAGTTTTTTATGGATAATAATTATCTCAGGCAATTATTTTTCAAAAAATATCTATAATTTATTGCTTTTTAATTTATTTGAAGGAAACCTATATTTTATTAAAACTATTTTTCTTGTTTTTAGACAGTAAATGAATTCTTTTAATCTCTTGTTGACTTGTTCCGAGCACACTATTTTGAAGTGAAATTTCTTTAGGTATGCTTGGCTTGGGGGGTAAGGGTAAGGGTAAGGATTTAAGCTGGCGAATGCGTTACGCGTCACGAAAAGTGTGTTCGGGGGAGGCGAACGGGAGTTGAGTGGGGGATATAAGCAAGAGAAAGCAGTGCGCGCGCACATTTTTTTTTCTCTTTCTCTTATAGCTAGTAATTGAAATATTTATATATATATCTTCCCAACGATGTTAAATACCCTAGATGCACCAACACGAACAAAATCATGCCCAGAATCTGTCCTAAAGGTACATTGTACGATCCACGGAGCTCCGTAAGATGATCGCGTAGTCTAAACAATATAAGGCATTATTTAAACATTGAAAATCACCTTTAAACGATATAAGGTCCTGATTAAAACGCATGCGTCAATGAGTTATGGCAGTCCGAAATGTAAGCTCGTAAAATTTTGCGACTTACTGTTATATGCGAAAGAATATAGACCTTATTTCTTTGACTCTACGCGCAATTCTGAATGCACTGTTAGCAATATAGCAGGTACGGCTGCGAGGAAAAGAGACGGCAATAATTACCTACCATGCATTTGAATATCACAAATATTTTCTATTAAATCAGTTTACAGTGAGTATTCAAACAAAATTAGCTTCAAATGCGTTAAATTAATAAACATTGATTAGATACTTGTCGAAAAAACGTCTTTTTACATACTGTAAGTATTTATTTCACATTTTTTCACGGAGCTCAGCGGCATGTTGACTCTTCAATGGTCCGCGCGTGACTGTGAACCAAGAATTGCTTGAGTGGTGTTCAAGCACTTCTTGATTGGGACACATTTTGAGCGAACGTATTGTATCTAGGGTATTTAATATCGTCGGTACATATATGTATATATTGTTCATCATCATTATCATCAGCCTATTAATGTCCCTACTGCTGGGGCACAGACCTTCACGATAGATGGAATAGGGAGATTGGCCCATGACCCACCACGTGGGCCCAGTGCGGATTGGTGGGTGCTACCGACTGCAGATGCAGCCGGGACCAACGGCTAAACGTGCCTTCCGAAGCACGGAGGAGCTCGAGATAGTAAATTTTGGTCACCTATCCAATGACCGACCACTGTGAAAATTGCTTAAGTTCAACGATCGCAGCCGAACGCGCCAACCACTTGCGCCATCGAGCTTCTCATATTGTTCATAAACATCTTATATATAAAATTCTCGTGTCGCGGTGTTTGTGGTTAAACTCCTCCGTAACGGCTTTCCCGATTCTCATGAAATTTTGTGTGCATATTGGGTAGGTCTGAGAATCGGACAACATCTATTTTTCATTCCCCTAAATGTTAAGGGTAATCTACCCCTATTCTGTTTTTAAATTTTAGATGTTTTTTATTTTTTTTATGATACATTAAACAAAAATACATACATCCCTAAATTATCACCCTTTTACCACCAACCCTTATTTTTTTATGGCGGTACGAAGTTCGCTGAGTCAGCTAGTATGTATATATATATATATATATATATATACACACAGATAGAGCTAAAGAAGTTTCACTTCAGTTTTGTTGGTCATAAATAAGCACACTCGCTTTTTTATTAACACAGTTTCCATAATGGTAGGTATCGTTTCGCGAGGGCGATTACATCTGTAACGCGAGTTGTATAGACGAGGGCTGGATGACCGGACAGGTGGTGCGCACCGGCCGCGCCGGCATGCTGCCCGCCAACTATGTCGAGCCCATACACAGGCACTAACTCTTACCGTTTCATTACAAACGCGATGTGTACACAATCTTACATATATTAACTTGTTCCATTATAAACGCGATGTGTACACGATACTACATACATTAACTAGTTACACTATAAACGCGATGTATACACGATGCTAAATACATTAACTAGTTACACTATAAACGCGATGTGTACACGATACTACATACATTAACTAGTTACACTATAAACGCGATGTGTACACGATACTACATACATTAACTAGTTACATTATAAACGCGATGTGTACACGATACTACATACATTTACTCGTCACATTATAAACGCGATGTGTATATGATACTACATACATTTACTCGTCACACTATAAACGCGATGTGTACACGGTACTACATACATTAACTTGTTTCATTATAAACGCGATGTGTACACGATCTTACATACATAGATAACGCATTTAAATTTTTTCTTCAGCATACCATATACAAGGTGTAATAAAACCTATGACAAAGACTAAAACTACGCATCCTGTCCACCCAAACAAGTAATATTACAAACTATTATAGGTGGAAAAAAAATGTTTTTGTAAGTTAAAAAAATACATTTTTTTCCTGTACGCAATGTATAGCGCGGCGCGCTACTGCGCTACCTGTGTGTATGTGCGTAAATGCGTCGATAAAAAAGTTTCTAAATAACGTTTTGAAAATATTAAAAGTATAAATCTTGAAAAAGAAATTTCGACTTTGACCTTCAATAGCTCCATAACTATAAATTTCCCAGGTATGGTCCAGAAGAAAAAAATGATCGTCATGATGTGGAAAATACGTGGCCTTCGACTTCGTTATAGGTTTTTTTAGACCCTGTACATTTCAGAGTAACACAATAAATAAAAATTAAAGATAAAAAGAAATCAGCTATGAGATACCCATATGTATGTAAGCTGCAGAAATCGAAAGGCCAAGGCTCGGCTTAACATTTGCCAGTTTTAAGGCAAAATATCGATTTTCAGCCATCATCTAATGTTATGGGTGACAGGCATACATCGTGCCTTCTAACAGAGATGCCTACATTCAAATAATACAAAGAAAATGTTTATAAATAGACAACTACATAAACGAGAAATTAACTTGTTTCATAAGAAACGCGCTTACACGATGTTTTGGTTGATAGACTTGCATCGTGCCTTCTAACAGATGCCTTCAATCAAATAATACAAAGAAAATGTTTATAAATAGACAATTACTTAAACGAGAAATGCTTACATTGATTTATTTAATAAGAATACAAACGGCTAGTAATAAATACGCTTTATCATTAAATGCGTCTATGAAAATGTACACATGGATCATGTTTACATAGACGATGTTATAGTCGTTAACACAACATTAATCGCTTACCGAGACATTATATGATGAGAACCACGCTTATGTAGCCGATGTTGTGGTTGATAACAATACATTTTTATTTTTAACAGATGCCTACGTTCAACTAAAACAAGGTATATGTTCATATATACAGTTAACAACAAATACTAGCTTACATTGATATAATAGAAGCATGAGCCGCGATTATAAACATGATAGCGTGGTGGCTAGCTAATAATACACTTTAACAAGAAATGATTGAATTAAGCATGGTTTTTATAGACCATGTCATGGTCGTTAGTGTCAATATGCACCGCTATTAAAGTAGAAAACTAATATAAAGACAAAGTAACTCAAAATTCACTGTGTATAAAGGGTTTTATGTTCGTTTGGAATACACACAAATGACAAATGTCTACATGAAAAATAAACACACACGTCAATGTAGACCATGTTTTAATTGCTAGTTTTTCACCTAAACACAATAATTCAAATACAGCGTACATGCGCTAGTAATGACGCTTTATATTTTATAATGATTTGTCGGATGTACACTCATGAATATGTAACAACACACTTATGAATATGTAACAACACACTTATGAATGTGTAACAATACACTTATGAATGTGTAACAACACACTTGTGAATGTGTAACAACACACTTGTGAATGTGTAACAATACACTTATGAACATGTAACATACATTAATAACTGCTGGCAGGTAACAATCCTATAATTGTACACGTGCATGCAACCGACTACATTCTTATGTTAAATATTTGACCTAATTATCATGTATAATTGTTAAATAAAATATATTTTTATATAGATTGTAAACGAGCATACTTAAGCTGTTCATTAAGTAGTAGTTCCGACGTGGTGTCCGCGCGATTTACAGCCTCTATAAAATATCTGATTGAACATGCAAGTAATATTTTGAATTATATAAAATGAAGTAACGATTATTGTAAGAAAAATATTTATTCGTCATTAATGTTATTTCTTTAACTTGCTGTTTGTTACAATAACATTTTATTTAAACATAATTGTATGTAAAATATAATTATAACAATACTTATAAGGATACCAGTGAAATGTGACCCTGTTTTGGGTTCAAAGACCTTAAAATATCATTGTGATTTTTATAGTAAACTATTTATTACTAATATACATATCTACTGGTTATCAAAGTGTTCTCCATAGGCCTAAAGTTTTAAGCCAAATTTTAACTTAAAGTAGAATATATTTTTACCCTGAAATTCTAAAGTATTTTAAAAACGTCTTCTTTTGGTAGAACTACGAAATTACGTAGCTACCCGACTTAAGATAATGGTATTTAATATTCCATTAAAACCTGAATATGGGGTAGTAAAATTCTAAATTTGTCACAAAGTAATGTGAAAAAATTGGTATTTTTAATATAATTATGATGACAACACTAGTGTGGTGGGACCAGCTTGCTGTCTCCCTTACATATCCAATTAAGTAATGAGGAGCTGGCGAACAAAACGGTTTAATTACATAAAACTAAATTTTACAGCTGCTGTATAAAACTGAATGACATACCTCCAGTAAGCTTTTATAAATAAATAAAAAATAAAATTTAAATTATTTATTTCGGACAACAGCAGTCCATATCAACCATACAAAAACAAAAAATAAATTAACATTAAATTAATTTACAAAAAAAAATCATCAATAATAAATAAATAAATATAACAAGTCAATATTTTCAAATTAATAATATTTAAATAAATGAAACAATGGCATGGTTTTTAATTTATAAATTTAGTAATTTTAATACTCTTTTAGACGGTTTTGATTTTAAATTATTTGAGATTCAAATTCAACGGGCCCGAAACCTCCGGACTGTAAAAAAAAATAGTTTGACCAGATGCGTAATTACATCGTTTCGTTCGCCAGCTCCTCGAATATATTTCTTTTTATGTTTAAAGCAAAAGCTTTATGTTGATTGAATTGTTAAAATCATCATATTTTCCAATAAATTGCATTTTAGTAAAATCATTCCAGGGTAGGCTTGATAAAACATTATACTATGTATATTCTTATATGAGAAAAAAAGGTAATTTTATCATCATTTTAATATTTTTGTTACATATTACAAATAATATAAACTAATTCTATCAGAATGATAGAGAAATGAACATTATATTTTAATGGTGTTTTTTGAGTTGCATTAAGTTTTTGCAACTCAGTTCTGGCGGTGAACAAAGTTTGAAAGATATAATTTATATCTTGTAAATAAGTATGTATACATCTTAAATATATTTTAATAGTTTTAAGATTTAAATACTTCTCTTATTTTTGCATAATATTTTTTTCTAACGTCTTTTCTTTCCATAAATTTAACATTCCGAGCACTTTCCGTAATAAATTAAAAAAAAACAAGTTATTTCATTAATTTAAGTTTCTTTATTTACTAAAGAAAAATACATTCAAGTAAAGCATTGCCGCCATTCCTTGTCAAGTAATTAATTAACATTTTTTTATAACTTGTAATTTATTTAAGTGGTACGTAAACTGTTCCGTTTTTTATTATTATTATTATCAATAATATTTAATATTTTTTACGCACTTTATTTTATTTATTTTAACGATAATAATATTAAATACTGCGTGCTATCATGAGACTGCGGTTATAAATAAGAATATTAAATTATTTATAAGCTAGCAATCAGAATAGTAAATTAATTATTAATGTTTTATTTTAACCTTTTTCACCAATCATACTGGTAACTTTGTTTTTGCCATCACAATTTCACACGACTGTATATGTATCGTCATGGGAACAGTATTAATATTAAGACGGATGTAAAAGTGCCTTTTTTATGTGTAATATATTTTTTAAGCTATGTAACGTTTATTGTTTTATTTTCCTTGTGTATAAAATAAGTACATATACGTTAATAAGTACATATTGGTTACCTACAATGCGAAGAGATGGCGCTGCCTGGCAGCTTAAGGCTAGGAAAATTTCGACGTGGCCAACAGGGCCGTGGTAGCATAATCGTCAGTGCATTCGCCCGGATTGCGAAGGGTTCGAGTCCCGTCCGCTGCCTGGTACGCGTGGATTTTTTTCTAGTAAACTTTTTTTTTAGAACTAAATTTATGTTCAATACTTTTAAAATGGATATACAAATGAAAGACAGTATTCGATTAAGTATCAGTCCCCGTAGTATGAGCACCACAATTTAGATTATATCACGGTTTTTATCGCGCCTAACTGTCAAACTTTATAGAATAGGATATTTTGACAGTATTAAAAATAAAGTGCCAATTGTTAGCATCTGTGTTTAGAATGAATATTGGCAGGGGTTTTTACTATTTGTTACATAAAAAATATTCATAATTTTACTAAAAACCCACGAAAAAGATAATAGTTTTCTTATCTGAAACAAAAAGGCTTCGGATTGGCGCAGCCTAAAATTACGTCACACACAAGTAAACTTCCGGTTAAACTGACATTTCATTGTATCGTTTGACGTTTCAATAACAGTCGTGTGACGTCACACACTAGTAAGACGCCACATTGTCCAGAAAATCGTTTTCGCGGCAACTTGAAAATGGAGTTTTTGATTTGGTTATTTTTACTGAAATACACAACAGAATCTTGAATATCCACTTTTTACGCGCTGCTGCATGCCTTATGCACCGCATAATGTTACATTATTTAAAAAAAGAAGTTTTAATTCAGATTTCTTTGTTCTTAACTCTAA